CATCTGCCACTGAGTAGGCCCATGGCTCAGCTGACTGCAGTGGGGCTTTGTAGGGAGGGATAGAAGGGAAACAGAAAGAATTAGCAGTCCAGTCATCACAACTCCTTCTCACAACTCCCCCCACCCACTGCTCCACTGCCCCCCTTAAATGTAGGAGAGGCTGCTCTGTGATTGAGCCAAGGTGCTGCTGCCTCTAGGTCTTGCAAGTTGCGGTCAGCCTTGCTCAGGAGGTCTGAGGGCCTGCAGGTCTGAGGGCCTGAGGTCTCAGAGGCCAAGCCAGTCCTGGGGCTGTGGCCTCACATGTGACAGTTTCAGACACCACAGAATTCAGCTGGACCATGGTAAATACTCTTCTTCCTCAACCACCGTTCTTACCTGGAAACATGAACCTGAAATTCCCTGCACGTTCAACCAGTCAAACAAATGTGGTTGAGGAGTGTGGCCCTGTTTTAGGCAAGAAGCTGAACTCTGAAGTCAGACACCTCAACTGACGGTGTGACCCTAAGAACATTACTTGGCCTCTCTGTGCCTCAGTTTCTTTATCTGTAAAATGGTGAATAAAATTAAAGTGTTCATAAAATGATTTATGACTATAAATGTTTATGCACCAAATAGTTCTCTACTGGGAACAGTTGTGCCCCCTGGACATTTGGCAATGTCTGGAGACATCTTTGGTTGTCACAGCTGGATGGAGGTTGACCCTAAGAACATTACTTGGCCTCTCTGTGCCTCAGTTTCTTTATCTGTAAAATGGTGAATAAAATTAAAGTGTTCATAAAATGATTTATGACTATAAATGTTTATGCACCAAATAGTTCTCTACTGGGAACAGTTGTGCCCCCTGGACATTTGGCAATGTCTGGAGACATCTTTGGTTGTCACAACAAGATGGGGGCGCTACTGTTATCTAGCGAGTGGGGGGCCAGGGATGCTGCACACCCTATAGCACACAGGACAGCCTCCTGAGTGAGGAATTATCTGTCCCCAAATGTCAGTGGTGCTGAAGTTGAGAGACTCTGTCACATACACACATATGGAGTTAACATTGCTTCTTTTGCAAATGGAATCATTCGAATTTCAGCCACTCTGATAGGTAAACAATGGCATCTCACTGTTACTTTAACCTGCAATTTCCTATTAATAATTCTGAGCATCTTTTCATATGTTTACTGGTTATTCTAACTTGCACTTTTGAGACGTGTCTATATCCTTTGCCCTTTTTTCTATTGGTTTGTTTCTATTGACCTCTACTGTCAAGTTTTAATCACTTACTTATCATAGATATAGAAAACCTTTTGTCACTTGCACTAAATGCATTCCTCCTCCCACCCCCAATTAAATGAATGAGATAATACAGGCCAAGGATTTAGCTGCTGACCACACTAGGCCGTGCTCACGCCAGGGCTCTGGTCAGGGCTGCTGGAGCGTCTTCTGAGGTACAAGATTTTTATCAACAAAGCAAACTCCCCACTGTGAGCAACAAACAAGAAAACCATACCGGTGAAGTCGAGCTCACAGTGCTGAAGGGGTCCCAGTATGAGCTGGCAGTTACCGGGAGTCAGGAGCAGAAGGCAGAGAGCCCTGGGCTCCTGGGGCCTCCGCTTAGCTCAGTGACAAGTGCTGACACCCAGGCTGACCTAGGGCTCACCAAGTGTGGGCTCTGGCCACACTCTTTAGGTGTGTTAATTCACCAGTCTCCACCCCACCCCCGTCCCCTACCCCCCGCCTGGCGAGGGGGTGCGGCTACACTCCTCTCACAGTAACTTGCCCACAGACAGCCAACAGTGGAGGCTCAAAGGGTTGAAGCCAGGCTGCTGGCTCCAGAATCTGAGCTCCCACTCTCCTCACTGCCACCCCCTCTGCTGAGACAAACCCCGAGGAAGGAGTTTTCACATCAGAGGCTACCTGCATGGAATATGGCAAGTGGATGTGAGGGCACCAAATGTCTCCTCAGACCAAGAAGCGCATCTTCCGAGCATGGCTCAGGAGAGACAGACGGGACTGCGGGCGGGCAGAGGATCTGAGCATAGTTGAGGAACTGGCAAATTACAAGAGCTGAAACTGGAACAGATAGATGACAAGCAACCACCTTAAGGAACTAAGAACCCCAACCTCTGGCCCAAATAAGTAGAAGTAAATTCTAAAGAGTTCAAAAAAATGTCACAAGGGCCTGACCAACTGTGCATTACCCAAGGAGTCTCAGAACCCACTGCGTGCATCCTATTGATTGAAGACATAGGTCTAGAGAAAGAGGAAACAATACCCTGGAGTCAGATCAAAGCCCCATGAAGGCTTCCCTGGGCCTGAGTCCCTCTTGGAGATGCACCCCCGCACAGTGTGTCTCTCGACATTTTCATCGAGTTCTGACGACAGTGGGTGACAAGTCTTAGGTTCCATTGATCAGATTGGTTAGCGATCTCCTTTGAAAGTAGAAAGGGGAGCCCTGAGGAATGAGACCCAGATCAGTTAGGGAGGAGAGGGGAGGTCCACAGGA